ATAAATTTCAGACATACTGGGTTAAACAGAATATATTTCTAAAATTAATTTCACCTGCTTCATTAATATTGTTATTAGAGAATGCACAATTAAGCATGTGACTCACATTATACTTCTAATGGCCAGTACTACTCCATAGCAATCTCTTCTACTGATAGAGCCCTGCCTTAAACTCTCCCCTTTGTTGGTTTGTGGGTCTCTGCTCTTACCTAGCTTTCCTGTTACACCACTGTCTGCTCCTTCTCAGACTTCTCTTCTGAGACCTAAATCTATTGTTGTCACATCTTAGTGTGCAGCAAAATCACTCTGGTTGCTTGCCAAAAGTGCAGATTCTTGGACCTTATCCACAGAGATTCCAATCTGGTAAACTGGCTTGGGAGACAGAGAACATGATTCAGTAAACTGGAATGAGGGCCCAGAAATGTGGATTAATATTCAGTCCTATTCTTTCTCCTTTTACCCTTAGAATTCCCTGGGTAACTCATCTTCCCACCCCACCCTCAAGGATAGAACTGCGGCTCACAGAGTAACATTTCCCAAAACTCTTACCTTCCAGTTCAGATTCCTCTCATCTCCTAGCTCTTCCTTCCAACAGCCAACTGTGCATCTTCACTGCGATGTCTCAAACTTAGCACATCCAACACTTAAGTTCTTATCTCTATTATCCCTAACCCATTCCTCCTTTTGACTTCCCAGTTACCCAAGCAAGGACCCTAAAATAATTCTCTCCTTCTTTCTACATCTATATCTAATCAGTTACAAAATCCTACTAATTCTGCTTGCTTAGCTTCTATCCTCTCTGTGCCCTCTTAATTCCCGTAGTTTAGGCTTTCTCAATCTTGGCACTACTGAAACTATGAGCCAGATAGTTCTTTGTTGTGTGTTTGGGGGTGGGGGGGTTGTCCTGTGCATTACAGGATGTTTAGCAGTTTCCCTGTCCTTACCCCACTACATACCAGTAGCACTCCCTAGTTAGTACAACCAAAATGTCTCCAGACATTATCAAAGGTACAGGGGGAGAGGGTGGTAGTGAAAGAATCACATCTCACCCCACAGAATTGCTGCCTTAGTTAATTGAGGCCCTCATTATTAATCATCTGCATTAGGGCAAGAATTTCCACCTGGCCCTCTTATCCAGGACTGGACCTCTCCCCCATTCTCCCCACTCCTTATAGTTTTATAGTTTTCATCAGAATAAAATCCAATATCTCTACTATGGCATAAAAAGAACGTTATTTGTCCTCTACTTACCTCTCCAGCCATACTGAATTCCTTTGCAGTTTCCTTAGGGATGGATGAAAGTCATCAGAAGTGTTAACTGTAGACAGCAAGTAAGCTAGTAGCTTATAAAATAAATGCAAAACTCCTAGGATGTTTTAAATATAGAATATGAGTAAGCATGTACTTGGTGAAACATAGGCAGAATTGTGTTAAATATGCATAGTAAGTTAGTAAACTATAGGCATGTTGAAGATAAAATAAATAGAAAATATCACGGAACAGAGGGTCAGTTGTAGTCAAAAAGGGATGAATAAGCTATAAACAATTATGACATCTCTGGGCTAACAACTATGTCACTCATAAATCAGCCACCCATTAATGACACCTAGGGTAGTCTGATACGTGATCTAGCCAAGAAATGCAAATAAAACCTGTCTGTTCAGTAGCTTTACTATAATATTAATAGTAAGCTCTATTTGTGGCCAGGCATACTTCCCTGCATCAATCTAATAGAGCAGGCATGTGCCATTGGCTCAAAGCACTTTTCACCTGTGGGCTCTTCGTGGAAACCTCATCTCTGGTCCTCGTAAGTACATCATCAGTGGAGGAGGTTCATATGGCAGATAGGATAGATGAGCATTGCTCAACCGGGATTCAGGTGGTCATGTCCTTCCACTTGATTGCACCTTATCCTAAGTGTGTCAACTCGCTACAACTCTCTTCCTTGCTTTTCACTGGATATTTAAATTGATTCAATATGTGATATCATTTAAGAATCTTAATTTGGCCTGTGAAGCTTCTATTTCATCACCTCTAGGATAGTTCGCCTAGCAGTTTACTTAGAGGCCATCATTGCATTAAGTTACTTTTTCATATGCCAGTTCAATTCAAGCATTACTCTTCTCCCAGAATGCCCCTGCTTTATCACCTCTCATTGTATCCTGTTCATACCCATTATGTTTCTATTATGACATTTATCACTACACACTGTGATTAACTGTTTACTCCTGTCTGTCTCCCTAGTCTGTGAATTCCTTGGAAGCACGGACATTTTATTCTTTTTGTCTAATTATTACTTAACAAAGTACCAACCACAAGTAAACAGTAAAATTATGGAATGCAACCTCCTGCAGACACAGTTGGGGGATTTTCCATTTCGGTGCAAAAGTTTAGTATCATGCACAAGTGTAGAGGTTTGCAAACACAATCCAAGTTAATGGAATCTATATCTTGTCAGAAACGGCCCCCCGCGCCTGCTCAATTCCCTAACTGCCGGGCCTGCAAAGACCAGTCACCGTCTGAAGCAACTATCGCCTTGCCTTGAATCATTCGCCAATTCACGTCACCCGCCCTTTCCGCCGCCGGAGGCCGCGGGCTCAGTTCTGCTCTAGGCTTCTCCCGGACTTTTCTCTATGGTGGCGCTGAGCCTCTCTAGCCTGCATTCGCCGTCCTCTCGCTGGTAGCGCGGGGACTAGCCGGAAAGCGGGCTGAGGAGTCAGTCTGTCCCGTGTCCTCTACGGTTTTGCTCGAACCCGGACGGAGGAGAGCTCAAACTAAGGTGGAAGGGAACCGGGGGAGGACAGGGGACGTGGGGACGAGCCCCTGGGTGGGGAGGGAGCCCGGACGGCGTCACGGAGGTCCCTGAGGAGAGATAGGAGAGTCGGCCCGCACACATGAAGGGGATTTCCTGCCGCTGGTCGGGGCCTCCTGCAACCTCCCGCCCTGCGGTGCGCCACCCGAACCCCAGTTCATCTAGGGCCCCTTGAATCAAAGCCTGGCGCAGTTTCTGTCCCCTCCGCGGGTTGTCGCCTCTCTTCGGGAGGCCCGGAGCCCTCAAAAATTGTGATTTTGGCTTCTACTACTTAGAGTTACTGTGGCCTTGAACCCCGTATACCTCTTCTATCTCTCCTATTTTTGTTTTTAATTTTTAAAATCAGAATCCTCTCGGCCTTAGCTGTTTGGTTGAGGTCGGAGGCTAAGTAATTTTTTTTTTTTTTTTTTTTACTCAGGTACCATGAACATAGTAGGTGCTCATTGGATGTATCTGGTGGATTGTATCATTTTGATATAAGGGCAGGAATCCATGTGACCACTACAGGGTTGGGGTGGGAATGACTGCAGGTTCCTGGGGGCCTAGTCATATTGATTTCCGGAGATTCGGCCTTCTTGGCTTGAGACTCTGGCAGTTTCTGAACATGTTTTCACTCAAAAGACGTTAAGTGTCAACTAAATGCCAGTATTGTGCTAGAGAAGCCATAACTGTCAACAGGATCTGGGGATTCCTTTCCCTACAGAGCTCTATACGTAATGGAGAAGACTAACAAGTAACAAAAAGCATGTGATGAGTGATATGGAAAGGGAAGTCCTTGAAGTTAGTTCTTTTACATTGGTAGATTTGGAAAATAGCACCCTATAGCTCTTAGCCTTCCAGCAAGTGAGAGATAAGAGAAAAAGTTTCGAGGCACTATGAAAGGGTTGTGCAAACACAGAGCAAGGAGGACTTGTAAGAGTAGTATTTGGGTACTTCACTAGGTGGGTGATGACACTGTTGGTGTTTGAAAGATAAGTTAGCATCGTCTGGCACAGAAAGGGCCAAAGGCTTTCCAAGAAGAGAGGACGATAATAAAGGCATAAAGCGTAAAAGAGCTTTGTAAGTAGTGGTGTTTGGCCTGAGTACGTGGTGTGTGGAACAAACCGTGCTAGAATCCAGACTTTGTTTTGTAGGAAGAGGTGAAAGTTTTTCAACAG